ATTGTTGACATAGCTTTGTTTTATGACTCGGTCAAACAGAAAATATGTATACGAATGATCAGAGTGCAAACAGACTATCTGCAATCACCAGCTTTAGAAGAGCTGATAGGTGATGCAGAAGTTGTACCTTCCTCAGATTTCCATACGAGGAATCATCCAGAAACTCATTTCCATCAGAAAACTCAGCTCAGCTCATTCTGAAACTAATGAGAGGGGCCAAGCCTGCACTTCTGCAACATGAGAGGTCCAAACAGACGAGGGGACACAAAACATTTCCCAATGCTTTGAGCTTCGCAAAGCTAATAAGCAAACATGTTTGCTCTTAATAAAAGGAAAATCTTTCAGAACGACAAAATCAGGATCTGTAGGAGGAAAACCCTCTGAGTCGACGGGGAAGCTTTTGCTCCTGCAGCACGTTTACTTGTGTGGCTGAACTTCATTTGAATCACAAAAAGAATTCTCTCATCTTTGTAGTGAATTCACACAAAGATAAAGAAAACAACAAACGCAAAGAAGCTGCTGCTTGGTTCAGAGTTGTTTTCCAGACGGGCACACAAACATTTTCGACTTTTGACCAGATCCACCACTCCGTTCCCATGATGGAGATGCAGTGTGTGTGTGTGTGTGTGTGTGTGTGTGTGTGTGTGTGTGTGTGTGTGTGTGTGTGTGTGTGTGTGTGTGTGTGTGTGTGTGTGTGTGTGTGTGTGTGTGTGTGTGTGTTTTGTGCCAACAGAGAAGTCAGCGGCAGCAGCAATGGGACAAACAGTGGGAGGCGATTGATGAAAAAGAAAAGAGGAGAGAAGAGAGCAGAGCTGGCAGGGTGAAGGGCAGAAAGAGGGAACTGAAGCAGAAGTAAACGTGCCCTTCAGAAAGATTCCCTCTCTTTTGGTAGTTCATTAGTCGTGACCTCAGCTTTGACCCACAGCAAATGCTGCAGTGAGCTCACTGCAACGATACCGCCACTTAGACTCACTCACAGGAATGCTGCTTCTGTTATTGTCTTTAAGTACCAAACTCAGGCCAAGGCCTTGCCAGGGTTTCCAAAACAAAATAACAGCCGTGCAAAGCTGTCTCACACACACACACACACACACACACACACTCGGATACACACCCAAACACCACTTCCGTCTATTCTCTCTCACAGAGAGAGGAAACAGAGTGGAGCTGGCCTGGCCCCAGCTGTCCAGACAGCCTGGCAAACTCAGTCATCTGCCTCCTGCTTCCCTCTGAACAGATCTAAAAGGCTCTCACCATTCTTTGCATTTCACTGTTTAAAGTGTTGATAAATGTAAGGAGCCAGTTGAAGGTGAAGAAACTTGTGCCTTCGGATCAGGGCTATGTGGTCCTGGGCCTGCAGGGACACTTGCTGCATGTTTTAGCTTTTCTGCACCAACACACCTTGTTTGATTCAACAACAAGAAGAAGAACTTGAGGACTTGCTGAAGATGTGATTCAATCTAATCAGGTGGGTTGGAGCAGGGAAACAGCTAAAACATGCTGAGTTGAACAGACCTGCTTTAAACCAACAGTTTCTCTCTGAGCAGTCTTGTATAATTTCCCTCTGACTTTATTTTAATAACACTGAGTTTTGTAAATTGGATTACTAGATGGTTGATTTTAGATTGCTTTAGATTCTGATGGAAAATAGATGGTGAAACTCTCGGATTTGAAAATCCTGAAAGATATTCATCACACTGTCACTTCACATTCATGGACTCACCCATCTTGGCTCACAATGGGGAAGGCTGTTGTTAGTTTAATGTCCAGGAAACAGTAGAGAATGTGTCAACTAGTAGAAGCTAACCATTAGCATTAGCAACTTCACCACACAGCAGAACTCCTCCAGGCTTGAGTTATTTGTAGAGATAAAACATCAGCGTTGCAGAGTAAACAGAGTCAGTGATAGAGTCGCGTTGCTGTTAGCCAATCAGAAGTGAGGTGTCCAAATATCAGGAAATAAGACTGAATGATTAAACAAGTGTCCCACACCTTTAACATTATTTGTTTAGATTAGAATTAGAACATAATGAGCTCTGATTTATTTCAGGACAAGCGGTGTCCTCGAGGGCTGTTAACCTGCATCTTTTTGTTGTGAGGTCCCCTGTTCCAACACAGTTGATTCACCTGTGAAGCAACTCATCGAGCTCTCCAGAAGCCTGTTAATCACCTGTTGATTTAAATCAGTTGTGTTGAAACAGGGCAAACACTAAAACATGTGGGAGAGAGGCCCTCAAGGATCGGGGTTTGACACCTGTGCCGTAAGCAGAACTGATTTTATCAATAATCAATATAGGGCCTCACCTTCTACACAGACTTCCCTAGAGGCTCACTTGTGTTAAACAGTTAATTCTTGGGTCCATGAGTGCAATTTCTCCACAGCAATAAAAGGAAAAAAAATCTGAAATGATCCTGGTCCATGAACCCAACCAGTGGTGGATTTAGCAATTTGGGGGCCCATTGCAAACACAGACATGGGGCCCCTTACACTAAATTTTTGACAGTCTTATCTTTAACTGGATTTGTGAAACTCCACCCTCTTCTGACATGAATTATTTTCACTTTTTATTAGACCTACTCTTTTTTCCTGTCTTTCTCTCCCTTTGAGTGCCTTAAATATTTGCTCTGCTTTCTTCTTCCTGTCAGTGCTCCTGTGCTTTTGCCTTTTTTTTCTATTTTCCATTTTGGTCTATGTTTTCCTCCCTTTAAATATTTTTCCATTGTCTTTCCTTTTCTGCTTCCTTTTGATGTTTACATAGAAAAATGATGTCACTTTCAGAAGTGAAGATAAAAGCTTTTATGAAGCATGCTGCTTCTTTCTCATATTGGAGCCACTAGGATAACTCCTTTTCATGCTTAATGTTTTGACTACCACTTCGAGTTTGTTACGAACACTCCCGCCTCTCTTCTTCTTCTTATTTGTGGTCTTATGGCACTTGGCAAATAACAATTTGGTGCATTACTGCCACCAACTGGATTGGAGTGGAATGACTACCAATCACTTCTTGTTTGTGCATCGGCATCTTAAAGGAATAGTCCATTGTGGCATTAACAGAGGGGTGCCAGCAGTCAGGGCTAGGGGCCCCCCAACATAAGTGGGCCCCAGGCGGCCGCCGACCTATGCCTAATGGTAAAACCGCCACTGAACCCAACAATGGTAAGTTCTAATGCTATAAACCTTCCACGAACCAGCAGCTTCTCCTTCAACAGAGAGGAAAAACATGGAGAATGTTCAGATGTTAGGTCTTCACCATCCTCTTCATTAATAACCAACGGTTTGGTGCTATTTTTTCTATAGCAAAAGTTTAAAACAACAAATTTAAAATCCAGCTGTAAAACTGAAGTTTCAGACATTTCTATACGTTTGACGCTTTTCCAAGTACTTTTATGACTTTGTGTTGATAAATTAGCGGTTTAATCTTTCAGACTCATCAGGTTATTGACTGGTGTTTGTTTCATTCATTGGACTGTTTGAAGGAGAGAGGCTGATCGCTCAAGAAAGAAATCTACTAAAGTTAAAACTCACTGTGAGATCATGGCACTGAACATAAAACACACCGAACCGCGTTTATAGTGATGACAGTACAACACAAAGTTCCTGAGGTCAACTCACAAGACAGGAATAAGGGCAGGCCTGGATGACGTTAACCCTCTCAGGCTCAAAATAAGTTTTGATAAAAGGATGAACAACTAAGTCCTTCAGGGGTACTTCTGAGTTAAAAAAACGCTCGTGGAATACGTATGTGGAGTAACCAGGTTGGTAGGTTTTAACTGTTGCAAATCTGCAACGCCTGCCTCCAGAGGGTTAAAGGAGTAATTTACACGTTATATTATGCATTTGAAGTGAACGCCTTGTAATTTGTTGTCGGGGGAAAGAAAAAATATACACGAGTGCACCATTTCTTGTACCTAAAAGTTTCCCACATCCCAGCTGAACTTCAGACAGCAGCTTTTGGGGTCTTATTTGCTGATATTTGGACATCTCACCTCAAATTGGTTAACAGCAATGCAACTCTAGCAGTGACTTGCAACGTGGATCTTTAATGTCCACAAATAACACACGTTTGAAGGAGTTCTGCTGTGTGGTGGAGTTGCTAGTGCTAACAGTTAGCTTAAATCACCCGAGGCATCCGCTGCTGATTTCCAGACATTAAACCAACAACAGCCTTCCCCGTCATGAGTCAAGATGGGTGAGTCCATGAATGCTAATTCACAGTGTGACAGATCCTTCAGGGCTTTCATATCCTAGTTTCACCATCTATTTTCTATCAGAATCTAATGCAGGACATAGGTGTAGGAGTCTGTTTTATGTTCATCCTGCATTAAAAACTCAGTTTTTTCACTGAACCACACCTTTAAGGAAAAAAGTTTGGAAACGACTGCGCTAAATAACCTCAAAATACAAGTAAATGAGTGTATGATGTATATTTAATAGCACTGATCTTGCCTGAACTCAGACTAGCCATTAGAGGTTCATTTAGTGGTCGGAATAGTAAACATTTAAAACTTTTACACAGGAACACACATCAACACACACATGTAAGCAGTCCTTTACCCTTGTTCAAAAAGATCACAAAACACAAGCTTAACATTATCCAACGAAAACAGCCTTTAAATTCTAAATAAATAGACTTTTTTTTTACAGCCAATGCACAAAAGTAGCTTCAAACTTTCAGCAGAGCTAGCTGCCTGTTGGGTTCAGGCCAAATGCACAACAAAGAAATCAACAACAAAAATCACAACTAATTAAAGACATGCACAACTGTGCATAAACTTCAGATAAAAAGATGATATTCAGCTGGAAGAGGGAATCACATTGAGTCGAATAAACATGTTGCTGTAACAACATGAGTAAAATGCTCTTCTGTAAGAAACCTACTCAATACAAACATCAGCTAATCGGCTACAATAAATCTATTTCCTGATCTCCATCTTCAGCACACTTTTATTTGAAGCGTGTGATTGGACAGCAAAAGGTCGCCAAAGGTCAGGTCTCTTACCTTGGGCCATTTGGGGTTGATGAGTCGAGCTTTGATGGCATCGTCCAGAGCCGCACTGTACTGACCCAATCTTAGATTAGCTGCTGAGCGATTGCTGTACAGGATGCAGTTCTGTGGATCTGCGGAAAGGGCCTCACTATAAAGACGCGCAGCCAGTGCAAACTCCCCCTGCTGGCAGGCTTGGTTACTGCGCCGCACACGCTCCAGGAATTCAGCTTTGCTCAGGACTGCAGGGCAGGAGTCAGACAGTCGATCTGCCCGTGTCCCCACAGGGGCTGAAGGGATCACAGGTGAGGAGGACGATGACGACAAAGAGGGAGGGTTGGTGGTTCTGCTGCCGGAGCGAGAGCCGAAGAGAGAGAACTGAGGAGATAAAGAAGGGAAGAAAACCAAGTTGGAAAAAAGGACTGAGTTCACAACAGATTGTAAACAGAAACATAATCTAAAACTCGCCCATGTCATATTGTATTTACTTCATTTTTTAATGCAATTTCATCTTTATTTCATCCCTTGCTGAGAAAAAAACTAACTTTGCTTTCATGCGGTTGATATCAGACTGCTGATGAGGCAGTGTGGCATCACGCTGTCTGATCTGAGTCTGAAAAAGCCATAAATCAGCATATTACTGGCCTGAGGTTGTTGGTAAAAAACTGTTAATGTAATATAATCGACAATTTTTTACAGCCTCACTCTTATGTCACGGGAATTTTGATGATACTTAAACATTTTTGAGACAAAAAATTTCTCACAAATGTTCACCGAGTTGCTGCAGATGTCTGGATTTGATAAGAAAACTTCTCGGTTTTGTTTCTGAGTCATAAAGTGGGAACAAAGGGAGACAGAGTTGGGTGGGGCTAGTGATCGATACAACAAAATGATAATTTACTGTAAACAAAGTGGAAAATGTGAAAATTTTACTTTAACAAAATTTTAAAAAATATATATAGCTCAATTTACACAAAAATTCTAGTAGTTTGATAAATTACATGAATGTTGCACAAGTTCTGTATTTTATTCTACATTCTACACGTGCAAACGTTTCCTAAGTAATCTGTTCTTGCAACTTTGTGTCTCCGTCTAAAGAGTCACAGCTCAGTGACATACTGGTCTTAGGTAGGACCAGAGTCTTGTGGCAGTTTATGAAACCAGTAAAAAACACTTCAGATGCAAGTTAGAATTTTTTTTTTATTATATTGTCTGTTGACAGATGAAATCAGGACCATCTAGTGGGTGACAAAGGTATCACACCAAGCTGTGGTTTCCATTTCCGTATTTACGGCCAAAAGCAACACCTCTTAGTCATGAACGCGCTCCTCAAGCCAACACAACAGAGCTAAAACACGTTGTTTTACAATTATTATGCTCACGTTATTTTGTGTATTCATATATTTATATTTTAAAGACTCACTTGTCCATGAGAAAAGTTGTCAACTCTGAATCAATCGAAGTATACTTCCTTAAACGCTCAAGCATGCTCTGTGATTGATGTCTGCACATAGGCGGTAGTCTAACGCTATTGGTTAGTGCGGACCGGCGCTCAGTTCATATTGCATGGAGCTCTACGGGACGGGGGCGGGCTTAAAAAATATATATAAATAAGTAGAAGTACCACCTACATTATATCATAGTACATGACAAGACAATAACTTTTACGTTATTTCTAAAAAAAATCATACATAACTCCTGAAAGGGGAAAACTCTGGATAGCAACTTTAACAGATGGCATGACTGGCTGAATTCTATAATATGTCAGGAAGGCACGGCAGCTTTATTTATATAACACATTTCAGACACAGAAGCAATTCCACATGTTAGAAAATGAAACATTTATTAAAAACTTGGTGCACAATGTGCACACTGAATCTGTGCAGCTTTTACAGAGCTGACTCCCTCTGATCTGGTGTTTCCAGATTTGTCCTTTCACCAGAGCTTACACCAAGGCTGTCATTATCTCTCTTCAGTGCCCCTCCACACACACACACACACACACACACACACACACACACACACACACACACACACACACACACACACACACACACACAGAGTTTGGACATGCTGCAAAAATGCAGACAGAAGGGATTCCTTTAACTTCCAAATGCATCACCAAGTGTTTCTGTCTCACAGGGAGAAAAAGCTGAAAACGTCTAAAATCAACTTCAAATAGAAAAGTGAAGCAAAGCCGAAGATGCCTGGCTGGATATTAGAGACATGCGGGAGAAACGATAACAAGAAGAAGGATTTTTGCGTTCCTGTTTCCAGTTTTACTTAATTAAAGTCAGAATGGTGATGATAAAAATCTAAATAGTTCTTTCAAAAATAAGTTACAAGAGGGGATTCAAACCCTGAACCAGCTCTAGTGCAAAGACAATACCCATAATGCCTTGTGTGAAAATGATTAGTTTAAGCAGTGAACATTAATAGAACATATTATTGCAGCTGTTCAGTGAGTATTTTCAGGTGGAACATGTTTGAGGTTCTTATTTTGAAGGGCTTAAGAAAAGGGTATTGGTGAAATTCTGGCGATACAATACATATCACGATACAGGAGAGACGATACGGTGTATCACGATATATTGTGATACATTCAGTCAGACAATGTTAGCAATTTTTAGACTAAATTTATTGTAGGAAAATCCACACAATCAAAAGTGATAAGAAACATGTTTAACTTGAGATATTTGAACCATAATAGAGGGATTTACTTTTCAGTGATACACAACCATTACACACTGCTGCCAACTAGCGGTCAGCGTTAGAATTACACCAAAAAAATGAAACTACACAAATGTTTGCATGTGAATTCTTCCAAATATTCGATACACAGCTTTTGAATATCTATATAATATTGCAGGAACAAATGTCACTATATATTACATATATTACATCCCTACTAAAGAAGGTTCTATGAGTTCTGCTGAAGGAGTAAGGACCCCTGGCCTGATTCATGGAAATACCTGGTGTTGTTCTACAGATCACCAAGTGAAAATATTTCAATTTTTTTCAACAAACTTTATTCTGGGAATAAAACTTTAACCTTTATCTCTACATTTTAAATTTAGTTTCAAAATTGGGAAACAATTATCACCTCAGAGTGACCCTGTTACACATTAAGCTGACTGTGTGAAATAAACAGCAGCAGGGGCAACAGGTTTCATTCTTTTTAACTTGTGTTAATTTGCACATGTAATTTCTTCTTTTCTTTTATGTTTTTATCTCTAAAAAATGAACAATTAAAGGGACATAAAATATTTATTTGCCTATCACAACACTCAGATTCAGGAAAACAACGTCATCTCCCACATCTACCCCATAGCTACTGTTTATTTTATGTTCCAAAAGTTGATCATTATTTGATTAATCTGTTTAAAGAAATTTGTTATGACTGTATTTAGTTTTTGGATTAATTGTACAAAAGTGGAATTACAGATTATGTTGTATAAGGATTTGGAAAGAAACTTGTACAGATTAGGCTAATTCTTTCTGAGAGTAACCACATAAGATTTTGGTTAATATGATGTTTTGTTTTTCTGGGTTTATTTTTGAGTCATACTTTTTTTTCTTTTTATTTGTAAAGTGATCTAATGATAAACAGGTTTGGTTCACTGATTATGTCTAGTATGGGTAGTCTGGTGGTAAGCATCAATTTTTTTCTGCATAAAGCTGTGTTGCCCAACGCTGGTCCACAGGAGCAACTAACCAGCATGTTTTAGGTGTTCTCCTGCTCAAACACATGATTTTTGTGGTATTTCAAAGTACATCTGGAATGATTTGAACCACAAATAATTTTGGTTCAAGTCAGGAGAACAAGCCTGCAACAGGAACACAACATGAATATCCTGTCCCAGTCCTTCCAAGTTTATAAGCAAACACACACTTTTCTTCTGCCCTGTCCCACTACTCCCAGTGCTTTTTTCAGACTGGGTCACAGAGAGTACACGCTTGGAAAAACACAATGCATCAATGCAGCTGTGTTCACAATACAGTATGATAAGATGATCTGTCATGTAATTCTGACTATTTAGACTGAAATGTGTTCAACAGATGTGACAAAAATCAGTAGAAAAATGCAAAAGGCCATAAAACATAGGAAATTAAAATGCTGCTTCAAACGTAAAAAGAAAGACAATTGACACCTTGGCAAACTCACGGCAACACTTAAGTTTTTGTTATTTTAAACATTTTAAATTTAGAAAATAAGGTAAAAACTGGGACATTTACATTTTCAACTCATGAGTTTCTCAGCAGACCTCCTGATGCTGTTAACCTGTTTGTTCTTACCTTTCTTTTCATTAAACATTTAAACCTCCCTGTCTGGGGTAAAACTCACAACCAGGTGCAATTTAGCTGGACTGTATTTTAGTGCTTTAAAACCAAATATACCATATTTGCTACACATTCATTTCTTTAACAGGATTAGTATATTCCTCTATGGACCTCGGTACAAGTCTATTGCCTCCTAGTGGAAGGTCTAAGTACTGCAGGACTCAAATTCCTATCAGTTTTAAGGAAACACTGAATCTCTGCTTATTGCACCGTTTTATTTTATTTATTAGCGGTATTTTAAATCCGTTTTAACTTTAATGCCCCTTACATTTTTGCCGACGCTTCTTTGCTGCCGCATGATCTCATGACCGAGGTGTTTAAATTAGCAGGATAACGTGACCTCCTCCAGCCTGACACAAGGATGTCAGCACAGAGGAGACAAGTGAGCCCTCTGCCTGAACCCAACAGGCTGTTTCCACCGGCCTCACCTTCTCTTTCCTCGCTTTCTGCTTTTCCATCTCCGCTAAATCCGGCGACAGCAGCTCCAAACTTCGCTCCCACCGCCGCGGTTCCGAGGCAGGACCAGAAAAGCTCCAGACACCATCCAGACTCTCGCTTAGCTATCGGAACAAGTCAGACTTCCCTGCTTAGAGGCGACTTCCCAAAGTGTTCCTTGGTGAGCGTTAATCCAGAGAGAATGCGCCATGTTCTCCTAACAGCGGAGAGAGGAGGCGGGGATCCGGTCCGGTCGGGTCCACACGGTTCCAGTTACTCCTGCTGACATCAGAGAGGAGTTCTGTTACCTGACGGGCGATAACACTGGTTCTGTTGGAGGAGGAGGAGAAGGAGGAGGAGGCCTCTGGTCCTCTATCAGGCTGTGGTCCTGACTCGTTTGGTTGATAACAAAAAAAAAAAAAAAAAAAAAAAAGCAAACAGGAAAACGATTAAAACAGAATTCACCACAGTTTGTTCTCATTGGAACTTAACGACTGACGTTTATTTTTTACCTTTTTTATTGAGTTTTCTGAAACCCATTTATCCCAGGGCACTTTACAAAGCAAATATTCCAAACCTTTTATCAGTCCGTTGACTTCAGTTCATTATTCTAACTAGTTAAAAGTTTTCTATTTAAGGAAACCAAACAGATGGAGTCACTACTGTCCTTACAGCAATCCCTCATACTGGGGAAGCACAGAGACAGTGGAGAGCAGGGGCGCCTCCAGAAAATTTGGATAGGGGTGGCCACTAGCCAGACGAGGCCAAAAAATGTTTGGGGTGGCACACCAAATTGGACTTCAGTAAAGTTAGTAAGATATTCACAGATTCGACTTTTGCGGCTCAATACCTTCTGAATAGAGGGGTATTTAGAAACGTAACATACCTCTTTGGTATCGTAGCAAGGTAGTGAACAAGCTACAACCTTGTTTCTTTCAAAAACACCGTCCTCAGCTCCCGACGAGCTAAATTGTGCTCTATGAGACCACGAACCTGCGCTCAGGGACCGGCTGAAAATAGACTAACCAGAAACAGCTCTTGGTCAAATATTAAAGAACACCACCCCTGTACACTGCAGTGTCGCCCAATTCTTAAAATATAACACTGCACACATGTTGTTAATCCTAAAGTGGTTATTGTAATCCAGTAACACATGCTATTTTTTTTTGTATTTTAATTTTTCAAAGTTTTTTAATTTTTATGTCTGCTCCATTTTAAAATGTGTTGACACCAAAATCACACAGCACATTATTATTGAATTAAGTTATTATTTATACCTTATAATTATCGATATTTCCTACACTGAAAATGTTATTGACACCAAAATAATGTCAAATAATTAGCACTTACATCATCTACAGTCTGCACCTTTTATTTATTTATTTATTTATTTGTACTTCTCTGATTTTGGTGAATTCTTTCAAACTAAGAGATTCCAATAGCTCCTACGCTGTAAACTCTGTTGCCTCAAAATCATGCGTGCTGGTCAATACTTGGCTCCTTTACATATTGCAACTTTTACTTTTAGGAAATAATACGTCTCAGTTTTTTTTTTTTGTGAATTTTTTAAATTTCTAATTTCAGTAGCTCCTACACTGTAAACTCTGTTGACACAAAATCATGCGTGTTGGTCAATATTTCGCTGCTCTAAATACTACATTAATTTTGAGGAAAAAATTTCTCTCTGATTTTTTGTGAATTTTTTAAGTTTTCTAATTTCAATAACTCATACGCTGTAAACTCTGTTGACACAAAATCATGTGTGCTGGTCAATACTTGGCTCCTCTACATACTACAGCCTTTACGTTTAGGAAAAAATACTTCTCTTATGTTTGGGGAATTTTTTTCAGTTTTCTAATTTCAATAGCTCCTATTGTAAACTCTGTTGGCACAAAATCATGTATGCTGGTCAATACTTAGATGCTCTACATACTACAACCTTTACTTTGAGGAAAAAATACTTCTCTGATTTTTTATGAAATTTTAAAGTTTTCTATTTTCAATAGGTCCTACACTGTAAACTGTTGACACAAACTCATGCATGCTGGTCAATACTTCTACATACTACAACCTTTACTTTTAAGGAAAAAAAAATCTCTCATTTTCTGTGATTTTTTAAATTATTCTAATTTCAATAGCTCATACACTGTAAACTCTGTTGACACAAATTCATGCTTGCTGGTCAGTACATAGCTCCTCTACATACTACAATCTTTACTTTGAGGAAAAAATACTTATCTCATATTTTGTGAATTTTTTTAGTTTTTTAATTGCAATAGCTCCTACACTGTAAACTCTGCTGACACAACATCATGCATGCTGGTCAACACTTACGTGCCCTACATACTACAACTTTAACTTTTTTGAAATAATACTTCTCTGGTTTTTTGTGATTTTTTTTTATAGTTTTTTAATTTCAATAGAGCTTACACAGTAAACTTCAGTGATGCAAAAGCATGCCTGCTGATCAACACTATCATGCTCTACATGCTACATTGTTGATTTTTGGGAAAAAATAAATATCTTATTTGTCATGAATTTTTTTTTACTTTATAATTTCAATAGCTCCTACACTGTAAACTCTATTGACGCAAAATCATGCGTGCTGATCAACACTAACATGCTGTACATATACAACATTTACTTTTTACAAAAAATACTTGTCTGACTTTTGTACAATTTTTCAATCATTGAAATGTTTGTAGCTCCTACACTATAAAAGTTGTTGTCACAAAATCATGCATGCTGGTCAACAGTAACCAGCTCTACATACTCCAACAAGTATGTTTGCTAAAAAAATACATCTCTGATTTTTCATTTATTTTACACTGTAAACCGTAGTGACACACAAATGGCCCCTGCTGATCACACATTTCATAGTACTCTTCATCAATTCTTACAAAATTTACCAGTCAAGAAATTTTTTGGGATCATTAACACTTGGTCATTTGCATTTTCCATTTTTACGAGGTTAAATAATTTTATCAAACAACGCACCTGCTCACTTTTGCTTGTCTGTGTTTCTCCAAAAACCAATCACATATAAAATATATCAACCGAGAAGGCACTGGTTCACAAATGTCAAATTGAATTATTTACACCGTACATCTAAAATGTACTACTTTAATATCAAGTGGAAGCTAATTCCGGAGAGAAGGAGCCAAGACCGAGAAAGCCCGATCATCTCTCGACCTGTACCTAGTTTGTGGGACAGTCAGTATGTCCATCATCATGCTTATGTAAACAAAGTGTAGAGTAAGAGGCTCACAACGTTTAAGTCATGCTGTGATGTAGAGTACACCTCAGTGTTAAGACTAAAAAAAACAAAATACCTGCATACAGGCCTCTCTCACACACACATCTCACACACACACACATGCTTGACAGGTATGAGTAAAAAAGTGACATAGAGAACAATTACGCTAATTGTAAATGATAAATTATCCTTTCCAAAATACAAGTACTTTGCATTTGACAGAAAAGTTTGCGCTGCTTTCCTTAATGTGCATCATCATTCTTATGTAAACAAAGGACAATCAAGTCCTCGGCTCACAAATTTGAAGTTGTGCTGTCTTGTCCAGTACAACTCCATGTTCACACTTCCAACCAAACACCTACATGTTCTTTACACGCTGCTGTTTGCACATGTAACAATACCAAGGTGTCTTTTTGCTTGGTATCTGGAAGGCAGTCATTCCAAGGCAGAGCGTGTGAAACCATCTTGAACAACTTCCACATTGAATCTAACAAGGACAAAGAAATGCAACCACATAACCTTTGTTACATGGCACTTAATTACAATATTTTTTTTCATCAATTTCATGCCATCACTGTTAATCTTTACTACAAACGATCAGTTAAAATGTACAACATTAGTATTATCAGCACACATGTTTGGCTCTTCTCATGTCAAATATTGATGGAATGGATCTTTTTTTACATAGGTACTACCAAATAAATGATTAGAGGGGCAAATAATAAACAGCTTCAATTTTCATTAAACCATATATAGCTGTGTTTCCCAACCTTGGGTACCTAACACCCTAATGGGTTCCCCACAAGATAGTAGGGGGTCCACACACATTTTTTCTTCTGTGATGAAGTTGTAAGGTTCCAAAGATGATATTTTTCAAAATTATATTCATAGATTGCTCAAGACCCAAACAATTGTACAATCAACACTGTGTATTTGAGTTACAACCCCTTATTGATGTATAAAATATATTATTCACTTTGATGTGTGAGTGTGCATAAAGATTGTGTTTGTAAGGTGCTTGGCTCATGTTGGACACAAACAAGAGGGTGCTTGTGGGAAAGATGCTGTGAACCGCTGCTTTAAGGTCATTCATCCAGTCACTCACACATAAAAGCAGAGGTAGAGAACCCTGGTTCTGGAGAGCAACTATCTAGAGGTTTCCTTGCTTTAACACATTTGATTCACATGTTCAGCAGCTCATGAGGCTCTCTACAGAAGCATGTTAATCACCTGCTGATTATTATCAGGTGTGTTGATGCTGGTTAGCCTCTAAAACAAGCTGGATAGCAGCTCTCCAGGACTAGGGTTCATTACCCTTCCATTAAATGCACAATAATTAACTTTTAGATTTTTTTAATATCATTTTCACTATCCCTTAAAAGACAAAAACAACACTTGCAAGCACCATATAAGGCCACAACAAATTTCGAGTAACATGTATGTTTGTTATCACACATTCGTAGGACTTCAGGGCTTGTTTTTGCTGACATTCAACAGATTTTTACCTGTGGTCACAACACTGCTTTCCTCTCAGTGTCTTCCTGCTGTGTTGGTCACACTGTGTTGGTTATTTTTCAGAAAAATTATGTTAGACAACGGTAACATCACATATCAACATGCTACCCCTGGAGTCTGCTTACAGCACATGACTCCTGCATCTTTTTGATCGTAAACTAACAACTGTGTCTGCATTTCATGATGAACCATTTATGTGACAATGAACACTGAGGAGACATGTCAGCAATTCATTTAAGGTATTTAAACAAAGTCTCTTTAAATCTGAAATATTCTCGCTAATGTGGCAAACAATTTGCATATCTTGCTTTTATTTTGAAATTACAATGGTTTGAAAATTAATAAAAATTAAGAGATACATTTTTTCTAAAAAGTACAGCAGGTACGTGTTGATCAGCATGCATGATTTTGTGTCAACAGAGTTTACTGTCTAGGAGCTATTAAAATTACAAAACTTTAAAAATTCACTAAAAATCTGAGAATTATTTTCCCCCCAAAATAAAGGTTGTAGTATGTAGAGCAGAATAGGTGTTGACCAGCATGCATGATTTTGTGTCAACAGAGTTTACAGTGTAGGATCTATAGAAATTAGCAAACTTAAAAAAATTCACCAAAAATGAGAGAAGTACTTTTTCCTAAAAGTAAAGGTTGTAGTATGTAGAGGAGCTAAGTATTGACCAGCATTCATGATTTTGTGTCAATAGAGTTTACAGTGTAGGAGTTTTTTAACTTTTTTGTTTTAAAATATCTCCAAAAGTCAGAGGGGGGAAAATAGAGAAAAGTATAGTATTTTCTCTAAAAACATAAAATGTGTAATATGATCTGCATCAAAGCTGTGATTTTCTGTGTGAATTTGGTGTCACTATAGTTTCAAATGGAGGAGCTTTTGTAATTAATAGCGGCTCATAGAGATCAATGTAACACGTCGGGAGCAAAGCACGATAGAGAACGGTTTGTTTTAAAGAAACGAAGTTGTAGCTTGTTCACTACCTTGCCACGATACCAAAGAGGTATGAATACTCCTCTGTTCGCAAGGTATTGAGCTGCAAAAGTCGAATCTGTGAATATCTTGCTAACTTTACTGAAGTCCAAATTGGTCCTTGTGGTAACTCTGGGAGAGTTTAGCCTGTGGCGATGTATTGCATTGCTCCTTTATTGGTTTTATTTAAAAAAAAAAAAAAAGATTGTATCCAAAAGATTTTACCTAAATTTTACAAACAGAAACATTTAAGAAAAGTACATATCAGTTATTGAAATTATTTAAAATTAAATTTTAAATGTGTTTTTTGTTTGTTTGTTTGTTTGTTTGTTTAATTCACCTGTTGCTGTGTTCACCAAAAAAACTATTCTTTAAATGGTGAGCAGCAGAAACATGTATATTTTTCTTTATTCTGATTATTTCTTTACTTATTAATTGTATTATTTTGTATCGCCCCTGGCCATCCCTTGGGGGCGCCATTGGTGGAGAGAAAAATAGTTTGATCTAACTTAGCTAATAACAAAATAAAACAAATTATATAAAATATTTTTATCAGTATAACAGGGAAGACCAGGACACGCTGGAGGGACTGTGTCTCACGGCTGGCCAGGGAACACCTTGGGATTCCCCCGGAGAGGCTCGCCCTCTTTGCTTTGGCTGCTGCCCCCACGAACCGACCCTGGATACTCACTCTTTAGGCATCAAATAATATAACTAAAACATTATACAAATTAATCACGCAGTTGCAAGGTAACAACTGCACAAATCATCAAATGTCTGGAAACACCTGGAAAAAAAGAACTGGTGTATTTTTCATGTTAATATTCTGGAAACTGCGATTTGTCAAACTGCAGTTCACCACTAGGGGGTGTTTTAACTTCAACTTCAGCTATGTGCCTGACTAGTTACTATAAAATAAATGTTGATGTTCTTGTTTCTATTTGCTAAACTTGCTTCAAACTGACCACATGCATACGTTATTAGCATCAAGCTTCAAGGGACCGATAGAGAAGAAATTAGCCATTTTTTTAATTATTCAATTGTTCTACTTTAATCAGTCACATTTATTTCTTGTCTCATAAAGCAAATATTTCATATGCACAACTATATACAATTTATAAATAGGCTCAACTAGACAAACAGAATATTGTACAAATACAAGTGCATTAATAAAGGGAAAGCTACAGCCGACATATCATTATAAATCTACTGCAAGAGAACCAGTCTTTTAAAAGTTTGTTAAGAAAACAAAACATTTTTCTTTAGTGTTTAAGACAGTGATTATAGTGTTAGCTTTGTCAGACTTAAAATGTCTGTTACCCTCAGGGCGTGTCCTCTCTGGCAGCCATCTTGAAGGCGCTAAAGGGGGAGCCCACCTCAAATGCAGCCTTTTCATAGAAAATGTTTGACCATGGTTGGAGGAACTTAGAGAAATGTCTAGAACAAATTATGTGTGAATTGCATGTGGTTTAAATGTATATTTTATTATTGAGATGGTAATGTGAAACACTTTAATGTGCTTTTCTCCTGTGAAAGGCTGAGGTGATTGGCCAATCTTAATTGGAGGCGGGGTCTTAAGGGTGTGTATATAGGTGGACTGCTGAGTGTGGCGGAGGACTGAGAGAATCTGTGAACCTGACAGACTCGGGAACTGGAAGAAGCATGGATAAGGTGTCATTTTTGAAGGCTGAGAGAGAATAAACTGACTTATTTACTACTCAGCCAAGAAGCATGATGAGTCATTTTTCCTCACCACACTTCACTATGTAACAAAGTTTAAAGTTAATATTTTTTTAAACTAAACAGAAGCACAAACAAATGCTGAAAATCTATCAAACAAAATATTTGTTTTCATCTCAGTTTTTCTGCTCCATTGTCTCAGAAACATCAAAAGTGTGACTCACAAACCTCACCCGTCAATTAGAATTTCATCTGGATAAATGAGCAAGTTTTGTGGGCGCAGGGTCGAGTTTTCATTATTTCTATCATCCCAATTGTTGACAGAAAATACAAAACAGTGCAATATTTAACAAATTCAAAGCTTTCAGTACTGGAGGCATTAATAATATCAAATAAATATTTGGTGAGTATTATAAAATAACATAAAAAAATGACACATTTTCTAAAGCAGCTTATTATTAAAACACATTCTTGCAAATTTGTTACATTTATATTCTAAAATATAAAAAAATGTCAAAGATACATGGTACTTCTGTTAACTGGTGCATATTATAGATTTTAAGCTATAATTAAATTTGAATACGTGTCAGTCTAATTCAGGACACAACAACAGCCTATAAAACTGACAATATTAAAAGAAAAACTTTCAAGAGCACATTTTTAATCTACATTTATACATTTTAAGGACTCTAAATCTTCCCTTAGTGCTGATTTCTCAGCCTTTCTAAAATCGTCCCGGTCATTTGGGTTTTATCCTCGAGTCGTGACCTTCTGTGTGTGTTTGGTTCGAGTCATCCTTTGACACAGCTTGTAGAGTCTAACAGGTCTGTCTTTCCTCTTTGCTCTCATGTTTGTCCTGCTGACCTTCAGCCTCACCGCCTGTAGATGGCGCTGCTCCTCCACCTCTGCAGGCCTCTGGTTCAGCCCAGGAAGCTCAGCTTTCACAACCATTGCTGTGCAGCTGCTGGATCAAGAACAGTGATAGTTCTGTCAGATTATGGACATTTGTACTTGACCTAAACATTGACCTTTCTATCCCACAACTGCAGTTTTGTGACTTTTGATGTAAATTGATCAAGAAAAATCTTAATATGTGTATAAAGTAGCTTCTAGGTCGTATTTTCTGGCGTTTCAGGGTTGTCACTCCTCACAAAAGGACTATTTTAGACTTTTCTTTGGTTTTTATGCTTGTTTTAAAATTTCTAGTAGAAATGTCAGTTTCAAGTTATTTAAAACATTTCTAAAAGGCAACAAAAATTATTATTTCCCAGACAAAATGAATGATTTACAATGAATTCACAGGAAAAATAACATATAATTAAAAAAAAAGGTTAATTTACTTTGTGCCTGCAGTCCTGCCTCTCCTCCCGCTTGGATTGCACAACTTTGTTAAACTGTTTTTAATCTCGTTCTGTGTGACTGAGAGACGTTTAATCTGAAGTTCTGAAAACAGACAGTTAGATGGCTAAAACCCCGCTGGTATTAAACCCTACATCTGTCACTCCTCTTTAATGTCACAGCATCAACCTGAACAGGGATGATGGGAGGATTTATTGTGGGATTTAAAATATACGGAAATGTATTTGTTATTGTGCAGGAGCAAGAATAGGAGTCATTATTTATAGCAGGTTTTAGTTGTTTTCCTGCTCCAGCACACCTGATTACTTGGTTGAATCTGCTCTTCATGAAGCTCTACAGAAGCCTGTTAATTGCCCACTCAATAAAATGAGATGTGTTGAAGCAGAGAAACCTTAAATTACTATTATTACTGATACTTTTACACTATCGTTACTTTTTTATAACACATATTGCTTCAAACCGATAAAATGGTAAAACCGAAACACGTCCGTTTCTTTTGTCTTGCTGTGTGGAAGTTAAAGGGTTAAAAGCTTCAAAGATCATGAAGCATGATAGCTTTTATCCACAATGCTTTTGACTATTGGTTTTACCTTTCCTGTGCTGTAGGACTTCCTAAGGACTTCCTTATTTACACAACATGAAGATTTCTGTGCTTGTGGTTAAATACTGACGTGTTGCCTGTTGGGCAGTTCGGCAGCAGGAAGCAGGACAGAGACACGTGTCCTAGTAGAAAAGTCTGCACTTTTGTCAGCTGCTTCTGTTGAGCCAGAGTCTGGAACAATCTAAAAGGACAGACAGGCAAATGTCAGTCAGACACCACCGCACACGTCAAAAACATCACACAGCCCATTATCGACCCATCAGACCAGACAAACGCTGAGACTGAGCAAGCATTGCGTCGCGGGAATGTCAAAGTGTAGAGTCCTACCAGAGACAGCTTATGTAAGAGTGTCTGAATAAAGGCTGGTTGGTGCAGTTTTGTGTTGTGAAACCTCTCGCTGTGTTTCATCCAACACACTGGTGAGTGTGCCGCTTTTGCTAGGTGCTCTGGTTCAGTAGTCGGTAGGCCGGACCTTCATTAGAGGCAGCCTGCTGGTTTACCTGGTGGTGCAGTTGCAGTGGTACAGTGTCCTATCTTCCGAGTTCTGGAGGCCATGTCTCCTCTGCTGGGGCGGGATCTTACTCCTGCATTCATCAAGATCTTTATACACACCACAGGACATCTGTTCCTCTGTGGAGAGGATCCATCAGGGTTTAGTTTTGATCGTAAAAGTGAACTGGTTAACTCAGGTGTTTTCAGTGCAAAATACCTGAGATGTTTTTGTACCGACTCATGTCAGTCTGGTGTTTGATGGGTACCACCATCAGCTCATCTTTCCCCTCTGGCGCGGATCCTTTAGGTCTCACCAGTGCAGTGGAATCTGGACGATGGGCAGCAGCAGTGATGGAGGGGGAGCTGCCCGAAGAGGCAGGGGCAGCAGGAGTTGAAGCTGTGGTGGACATTCTGTGGAGCTCTGGATCTGTCAAGCTGCTCTCCAAGAGTTCTGCAGGTATTGTCGCATTAATGTTGATGCATGAGGTGTTCAAGCAGGCCTTTGGCTGGGGAGCTTCAGACAGTTCTGGTGGGTGGACATCAGCGTACAACGCCATTTGACTTTTTTTACACCTGTCAGTCAAAGCAGAGGGGGAAATGCATTGCAGGAAATTTTACATAAGAAACTTGAAGGCACTGCATTATTTAAAGGATTGTTTGGCCATTTTAAAGTGAGCTGCTGTGTAAAAGTGTTTAAAAATGACCATCTGACAGGTTTGCATTTTTCATGAGCATCTACTATTAGGAAGACATCCTGGAATATTAACCAACTAATTCAGCTTATTTTGAGCACAAAGTCTTTCAAAATATCCTGCTCTAGACCCAGTGACATGTTTTGACTCCTCTGAGCTTCTGTAGCAGAGCAACTTGGTGCAATTCAGCGCCGTGATGCCAATAATTCATTACTTAGTGGCGCCTTACTCTAATATGACCACTTTTTCCATTAGCGACTAATCTAACACGTTTCTATTTCCATATCAGTAATCAAACCAAATCAGACAGAATGGCACAGCGGTCCCATTCCTTGTAATAGAACCCTCACTACGGTGCACTACCAACAAAAATAGCACATTTGGAACACTGAACAAAAGTCTAATAATTTCCAACTGGCAATCAAACCCCAACAATACACACCAAAATAGAACAAACAACTGGAAAACAGCTATTCACAATGAACCTCACGGGAGGACTGGGACTGCGGTGCTGTTCGGCTATTCAACAAAGTGGTTCATAGCAATCTCTGGTTTCAGTGTGCTTGCTCTTGCTGGGTGCTAGCTGTTAGCATTCTGCTCCGCCCATTTCGTTGGCACGGCAAAACTGGTTATGTTGAGGCAGTGGTGACTGTTATTGGCAGCTGCTGAAAGTAACTCATAATCTAACTTGTTTACTTTTAAAATAAAGTAACTAATTTGCTTTTGGAAGGAGTAATAAGTAGTAATCAGATTACATTTTCAAGATAACTGTGGCAACACTGGTTCAGGGCCACCAACAAATCCTCAAACCTGCACCGATGAAATGAGGTCTCTGACTGGTTGTGTTTAAAACAGCTGATGATATATTTCTAATAGAAAATCTTCTTGAATGTTACAAACTGAAACTTGAACTGATAAATGAAACAAATCTGTTGGTTTAGGATGATCTGCTCTTTCAATTGACGACCGAAGTAATATTATAAAATGTTTTTCCACTTTAGTGTTTGTGAATTTTATCTCAATTAAATTAATAAGTTAATGAAAGCATGGTGCCTCAGGTTAATGCTGACCTTTAACACTTCCAGGTCAGGGGTTGTTAGAACAAATGAAACCAGATCATGGTGCTTGATTCAATAGTGAAATATGAGTGAAACAGAGTCTAAACCTTGCTGGTGTCATATTTCACAGCAGACCATGCTCAGACTGTAGTCGTGACTTGTTTTTCCATCTGATCTTGGCATAAAATCCCATTTCTACTTACATCCCAAACCAATTTCTCTCTGCACACTGGAGCCTGTTGGAGAGTGTGAAGCAGTGCATCTTCAGCAGGTTGAAGAAGGTGTATTCCACCACTTCTGATATCCTGTCGTTTGCCTCCCTCAGACAGCTGCGAAACCTTCACAGGACACCAAACATCCGTCGTTAGAAAGTCCCTATGCTCTGTTCAGATGACAAATCTCATCAGAGAGAGGGCGGTTACGTTTTATCGCAGTCGCAGTGGGACATGGTGAAGATGTTGCTGTTGAAGACACCAAAGCCAGACTGAAAGGACAAGATGGTGTGTTTGCACTGGTCGTGCTCCCGGCAGCAGCTGTCCGTGTTGGAGAAGACTCCTGCAGGAGCAGAAAGGACACAGAGGCCATTAAGTAAAGGCCTGAGCCACAAAACAAATGAACATTTGGCTGATTCATGGAAAATATCTAGAATTCATGAAAGGATTTGAAATAAACTTTGCAACATGTGAAATGTGTCCATAAATATTAAAACCGCTCTTAGCTGGATTGTGATTTTATTTTGTAATTGTTTAGAGTTGTAAAAGTTCCAGAAAGACACAACTTCCACCTCTGTTTGTGATATTTGCTGCAAATGTGAGTGTCCTAGAGGAGTCTAGCCATGAATCTGACATTTAAAACTAAAATAAAGAAGATTCATTTCTCTTTAATCTTATATTTTTGGTCCAACATGTCTAAACAATGTGACCCAGATTTAGCTTTTGCAGCTTTAATCAACCCTATCAGTTTCAGTCTATTGTTTCTGTTTATTTGCATACCAAAAATGATCTTTAATAGATTATGTCCACAGTTTATACAAAAGACACAATTTCCAATTTTCCATAAAGGTTTGCATTTACAATTTCCAAGAGAAAAAATAAACTGAAATGAGCTAAATGCTATAAATGAAGTAACGGTTTGTTTGCATATTTTCATCTTGTTAATATTTGAGTATAAGTGTGCAGCTGGCTTACCCAGATCTGTGTATGAAGGCGCCTTGTTGCCAGAACCGCACCATAGAGTCCCCGGAACAATGAAGCCGCGCTTCACACGCGGATGCTTTGCGACCTCTGACCTTTCTTCTTGTCCTGGACCTCCAACGCTCCTCCTGTCTCTCCTCCCTCTGCTCTCCAGCATCCCAGACGTCAAAGGAACGCATTGATCAGCCCCCAAAAGGAGATTCTCCAGATTTTCCTTTGGCGGACCGGAAAAGTCCTGTGGGCGCTGCCGGCACACGGACAGGTAGCTCCGGATCACCTCCACGTCCTCGGTCCAGCTGCAGCTGAGTAGCAGGTGCTGCTCGGACCCGGACCAGAAGCTGTGGTACAGGCGCGTGGAGGGATGACTCTGTCCATTGTCCGTCCTCACAAAATTGTAGTACAGATTGTTGTCGGGCATAACTTTGGTCCAGGGGCAGATGGCGGAGGCTTGCGCGGTGGAGAAGCCCAGGAATGATGATAAAGTTAGAATTAGAGGAAGAAAAAGAGCAGCGTGCGTCATGGCGCTGCATAAAAGTGGTGAATGGATGGAGCCGGCTGCTGTCTGGGAGGTTCTTCATACATTCAGACCCCAACTCGGTTTAAATATGGAGAGGAGGAGGAGGGCACGTCGGTGCTCCGGTGGATTAACGGAACGTCAGTTCAACCAACTCTCTCTCTCTCTCTCTCTCTCTCTCTCTCTCTCTCTCTCTCTCTCTCTCTCTCTCTCTCTCTCTCTCTCTCTGTGTGTGTGTGTGTGTGTGTGATGTTGGGGTGTAAAGTGGGACACACACACACACACACACACACACACACACACACAGAATAAGAGGAAGAGACACACCCCGCAGGATCACTGCACAATAATCTATAGATCTGCCTCAGACCGCCTCCAACACAATGGATGAAACGTGATAAACTAATCCATGTTTATTGATTAACTAATAGATTCTCTGGACTTGTTTGTGTTGTTGTTTTGAGTCAAATACACTTTTCAAATACCTGTATCTTCTGCCTTCACGTATTTTCTTTCAAACTGTCAAACTGCCCTAACAGTTTGACAGGTCGTGTGATCTGGGCTGCTAAACTGATCTGACTCCATGGAGAACTGCATTGACCCACATAGTTCAGCGAACACGTGTGCTTCTGCATCCTGATGGAAGCCCAATTGTATCGTTGAATAATCTGACCAATTCTCAACATTGTTGACATGCAGAAAGAAATTGGCATGCTGTTCACACACCCTCCCATAGCTGTGGGAGACTGTGAGATAAGGCTTGCTGGGCACAGGCACTTAAAGGGCCAGCCACATTGTGTAAAACCACACTGTAAGTGAAATGTTTTGTTTTATTTTGTTATTTTATGTTACTGTGTTCAATTGAACCTTGTAGATTACCTCTGATGGCACTTTATGCTTTTGGAAATGCATCAAAATAACCAAAACATAAGATCTGTGACATCAGAGGCATTGGGTGATATGTGATATACCCAGGGTAAGAATTACAGGGGAGCTAAGGGGAGCCTGGCTCAACCAAAATGGTAACAGGCTCCCCTGGAAGCCCTCACCTGAAACTCCCAGGGGGAGCCTGAAAAAAGATCCTGGTTCTGTTTATATTACATTATTTATGGACTCTCTGGGGATTCTTTGGAGCGGAGAGGACGCAGAGCGCTGATTGTTGATGTGCCATGCGCACGGCCGCAGTACCATTCTCAAACATTCTCAAAGAGGCGCCACTGCTTGATGCAGCTGAGCAGAGCTCATCACCCGTGCTCCGGTGATTTCACCTCACTGGCGTGGCCATTCAGCGTGCACTCCACTATTTTAGTGGTCGGCATCTCTTTAATCTCAAGGGGTGAGAATATAGGAAGCCTTTTCTGTAGGACTGAGAAGGGATGCAGGAAGATCAGAGACAGACAGGACAGGAAAATAGTTAAATAAAAAAAGAACAAAACAAAAGGTTTGATAATAAAAATGTAGGTAAATTTAGCCCACTGCACCTTATATAAAAGCTAATACTGGTGCATTTACAGAAATGTTGATTAATGTTCATTGTCCTTGTTCAACTAAACTAAACAAGCTTGTGTGCCAACTGTAGCTACAACGTAGCTAATCATCACCAGTGTGTGGATGAAGGCATGAATGTTTGGAGTCCTCTTACTCAGAAAGGTGCTGTATAAGTGCAGGTCATTTATCATTAATCATCAAAATAGACCTTTCCCCCTTATGCACCGTTTAGTTCATCGGGATGAATTTTATGTAATTTATTTTTCTCTTTTTAAGAAAAGCCTAGTCATGCTTACGTTACTACATTTGTTTTCATTATGTTCTGTCTGTGTTTGCATTTTGCATTTCTAATACATTTCAGTTAATCAGAATTGTAATGGTTTATTATTTTGCTTGTTCTTTTTTTTACTTTTGTGGATTGTTGCAGCCTTCAGGTGAATCATTTATGAATTAGGGTTAGGGTTAACATGATTTTGTCATTTTCTTTCTCTATTCTTGCAAGGTTTTAAATCCACTGACTCTTTTTATACCAATTTCCTTGTATTTAATAGCTGTGGTTTTGATTCTATTTCCACTGATCTATTTCAGCACAGTTTCTACCTTTAACCATCGGCTTTTCTCTGCTCCCAGCTGGTCTTGTAGTTCAGTAACAATTGGAGGGTTGATAGGTCCTAAGTGTTTGTTTTTTGTTGAGTCTGTCTTCAAATTTATCTTGCGACGTATTCAAGGTCAGACAGAGTAGAGATTGTCAACTTTCACCCACTAAGAGAGAGAGGGAGAAAAGGCATTATCAGGAGAGGTCAAAGTTCATTCTATTCTCCGCTGCGTGTCTGTGTGAGCTGATTGGTTCAAACCTCACCTGATTCAGACAAAGTTTACACCAGGTCACAAAATAAATAGAGCACTGGTGCAAGTCAAGAGCGTTTATTTTAATGTATTTATTAACCCACAGCCTGAGCTGAAACATGCATCAACAGCGGCACAGAGTGAATGTTTAACAGGAAACATTTCTTCTTTATTTCAAATAAATCTGTGTGGGAATACGTCACTGTGTTTTCTGGAAGCATTAATGTGAGCGCTGCATGATCCATGCTGCCCTGATTTCATGGTGAAATGCCATGCAGAAATTTCAAGCACACACACGCACACACACACACGCATGCACGCACGCACGCACATACGCACACACACACACACACACACACACACGCACAAGATGAGCTGGTTATTAGCAACAAAAGCATTTGACAACAAGGTTGCTTACATTGTTTCCCTGTTTTATATTTAACATTTGGAGGATGCACAATGATTAAGCACAATAACGTGTAAAGTTTTTGTTTTGAATCCATGCACACCAGAAGGACATTGTAAGTCAGCTGACAAAACATGGCATGGCTGGATATGACAGGAATGTTGACCTTTTCACCTGTCAGTGACGTGGTCACATGGTGACATGATGGGGAGGGAAAGATCAAACACAAAACTGGGATTTCCCTCCAGGATCTGATGCTCAATTCAGTACAGCTTACTCTTCCGATAACAGTGATAACAGTGACTTTATCAGCTCCATATAAATATGATAATCACTCAGCTCAGAGGTTTATTTGTTAAATGATATTGTTTATGATGATGTCATTTGTGTCTTATCATCACTCCTTATTACAAAAAGAAAAACTGTAGATCAACATCCATGTTTGTCACAGGAAATTTCACATTGATCTTTATGGAAAGCCACATGAAAATAAAAAGGATCTGTTTACCTGAAATAGATAAGACAACATCTTACAGGGAATGAATGAAATAAAACACACAGGAGGGGAGGAAAAGGTTTAGTCCTCGAACTGGACAGCGTTGTCGTTGAACAGAACATGCCAGCGCTCAATCTTCTTGTCTTTGTTCTTGAGGCATTCGTACCAGTGCTTCAAGCACTCTCCTTTGGCCTGGATGCCCAACTGACATCCACCTGAAGGAAAATAGTAAACAACATTATAAGACGGGTGTTTTTAACCCTCAATCTGAGGAGAGGAGCTTTAATCATCCGGTCATACTGAGTCAGTTAGTCTCAACTCAGAAAAAAGTTTTTGTTGTTTGTGATTTTCACGTTTAAATATAGTTTTTATGGAAATGCAGAGTTCACAAAAAGAGTTTAAGAAAAATAAAATGGATTTCACAGGACCCTATTAGTACCGAAGTCTTAATAAATGAATAACAAAGAATGTTTTTGTGCACTTTGTTACATAGATCTATCATCAGAATACTCTGAAATGTCATTATCTTATGTTTGGGCTATGAAGTTTGAACTCAGTGCTCAGCATAAATGAGTACACTCCCTTTAAAAAGTATGAGTGTATTAAGTAGCTCAATGAACAAAAGAACAATTTCCAGAACTTTCACAAGGATGGGTTTTATTGAACTCTTGTTTAATTCCATAACATGAAATCAGGATATTTAATATAACTTAGATCACAAAGTCTTCAGTTTAACTAAAATTGGATGAAACAGAAATGAATCCACCCCGCAACAAAAACTACTACATCTAGTATTTTGTATGACCACCGTGATTTTCAAGGACAGCACTAGGTCTTAGGCATGGAATGAACAAGATGGCGACATATTGCAATATCTATCTTTTTCCATTCTTCAAGAAGAACATCTTTTAGAGCCTGGATGTTTGAAGGAGAGTGATGCTCAACTTGCTGCTTCAGTATTCCCCACAGGTGTTGGATCGGGTTCAGATCAGGAGACATACTTGGTCGTTCAATCACCTTCACCCTGTTCTTCTTCAGAAATACAACAGTAGCTTTAGATGTGTGTTTTTGGATCATTGCTGTGTTGCAAAAGTGCACAACGACCAAGTGCATCTTCTCCTTCAGTATAGAGCATTACATTGTTGAGTTCATGATGTCATCAAT